AGTCATAAAAGCGCCAGTCAGCCCCTCGCACTGCCAAATCCCGGACAACTTCACTATATTTCATCAATGCTGGGGCCTCCATTGGATATTTGGCAGTGTACACCCTTACAAAAATTTGAAAAGCCAAAGTCCATGCACCAATGTTAGCAATGGCTTTCGGGACGGTTCCAAAGACAACGGCGGCAAAGCTGAACCGTTTTGGGAGCTCACAGACAAGTGATACCGGGTATCACCTGCCCCTGAGCTAATTAAAACACCAAAATTGATGAATTTGTGAGACCAAATCTTGGCCTTAACTTTTGCGCTCACATTCGCATCAATGGGTACATTGATGGAATTAAATTTAGGCAGACCTGGCTCTACAGGCGGTGAGACTTGGATAAAACTAGTCTCACCTGAAAGATTATTTAAGGCAGACGCTACCGGCCCCTGCATAGTAGCGTCTGCAAAACTAGCTATACCTGATGCTACCATAGGCAATTCCCTCGTTTCCACAGCTGAAGATGGAGGCGGAAGAGTAGTGGTGCAGGCTCCATTGAGTGACGCTAGCACAGCTTGGGAGACGATCTGTTGAACCGTTTCGTCAGGAACAGTTGTTGCTGGTGATGCTGCATCAGGTGCTGACGTTGTGGCCACGGAGGAAGACGCCTCACAACTAACTCAACTAGGCTCTGGTTGCTGCATAGTGGTGGCACTGGCGGTTGCTGTTCTTCGCCGAGAGGGTGGACGATGTGGTGCTGCTGGTTGTGCACAACATTGAACTCTTGTGCTAGGTCGAGTAGCAGGCATTCTGAAAGAAAAAACTAAAGACCGAAGACTTTCCTTAACGGGAGCCACATCAGGCCCTGGAATATTAGACAAAAGGAATTTTGGAAAATAAGAGACATCATATTGCACAACCATTTACATATTCATGCAACGGTGACAAATAAAACAACATATAAGCAGCAGAATAATCATGGCATACAGCGAAGGTAGCCGCAATTGATTATCCTTTAATGCGCAAAAAATAATATACAAGGGCAATCTGAAAACAACATGCCGCACCGTCCCACAATATATTGACAACAGCTGTGGGCATCTGAAAACAATAATTGCTCTATCCCACATAGACATGCATTTTTTCCTTGACACAGGAGTGGCAAGTCATATATACCTATACTATAGAAAAGACATCTTATATACAACACAAGGAAACTACAAGAACACTCCACACACATGTACTCTACATGAAACAAAACAGATACATAAACTATTAAAGAAGCTGCAAATTGTACGTATATATAACCAGCACAAATCATGAATATGTCCTGTGTAGAAAAAACCCAATGTTGAAGTCTCAACGTGGGCATCTGAAAACAGTCATGTTGCTCTAGCCCATATAACATAAACATATAGTAGTGGTACATAAACGGCAACCACATACATAGGGGTAAACTAGTATAACAAAAAGTTAGTGAAATTGCTGCCGTAGGTGTATTCGCGTTGCGAACAAGTTAGCGCTTAACTTTGATTACCTTATGTTTGACATGGAGGCCTGGTTACCAATCGCGTCTCAACGTCAGTGTTACATGACCGTAATGGCGTAATTCGTAATCAAAATGACGCCATGGTGCTAGCCAGTGTGCTGAGAGGCATTCACCGATAATATTCAAAATGGTGGACCTCCATAAGCGCACTGGGTAGGACCATGGCGTCAGCATTTTGATGATGAATCATGTGGCAGGGGCGTAACGCTATATCAGGGGGCCCCTGGTTCAAAATTTTCGAAGCCCCTCCCCTAGTAGAAGTGCCAAAGGCACGAGTTGAACGCCATATATGCACAAGTTTTCTAGGGGTCCAGGGCATGCTCAGCCGGAAAATGTTTGAATCTAGAGTCTCTGAAATGCCATTTCCCGGACCAAAGGGAGAGATTTTACAGAATTCTGATGGTCAGAAAACGACATTGTGACATATCAGAGGCCGGCCTGGCCAACGTTTTTGCTCTACAGCCTGACCCTGGGGGCTCCCATTTGGCCAATTGGGGTTGGGGGCCCCCGGATTCGCCTGGTGCGAGCCCATAGTAGTTACGCCACTGGTGGCAGCATCATGTGGCAGCTGCAATGCATTGCAGGTAATCCACAACAAAATTTGTTAATTGTCTTGAATATAGTACTAATATAGTGATGGGTTGTAGGAGGTATTTGAGTAGTTGTAATGAAATAACTTGCAATACTCTACCAATAGCCCCCCTGAATATAAGCCCTGCCCCCTGAATACAAGGCCCGCCCCCTGAATACAAGCCCCCCAAATATAAGTCCCCCGAATATAAGCCCAGTAGCCCACTACGTTATTCAACACTGACATTGTCTTTTAAAGGGGCCCTACAGTCATTTTTTAGTTGAAAATCCACCTTAAGTATTGTTTACATTTTTGTTATTGTCGCTACTGGACATGCGCACCACGGCATGCATGCGCCTTCCGGTGTGCGGAAGTACTCATATCAACATATTTATATTATCGAGAAAAGGACGTCTGATGCCCGATAGATCATTGCTTCTCACACTATAACTATTAAAATGCGCACCAATTGAATTCAGGCACGATATTGCTCAATTGTTACCCCCATTTCACCAAATGCAATATATATCACTGCGACTTGATCTATCAGCGGCAGTAATAGAGGTCTGTAAAATTTGCAGTTTTATATATGATATACTGTAGCTCTGAGTCACGTGATACCTTCATACAATGGCTCTCGTTTGTTTTGAACACAATGGCTCTCGTTTGTTTCCGTTTGTTTCCGTTTGTTTCTTTAGAATTAATGTAAATTTTATTTGAGTTGCCTGTTTGGCCACCGTGACCAACACGCAAAGTGTCTGATCAATATATTGATCAGAGACAGCATGAACACAATGATTCCCAACACCAAATATGCACTGTCAGGTTTATAAAATCAAACGCGAGCCCACATAAATAGAAGAACAAATCGACAAACCTTCTGAAAATTCTTCGTAAACTAAAAGGATCATAGATAATGCTTTGATCTTACCTTAAATATATGACTTCACAAGAAGACATAATTCTTAAAAATTGCAATATTTGCTAAATACTTGCCAACTTGTAAGTTTCGCCCTCGTGCTAATTCTTGGCAAGTTCCGAAGAGCAGCCGGTAGCTTCCGTAAAAACCCGTTGAATCTTCTACGTCACAAAACGTCATCAAACTGAACATCCAAACATTGCTAAATCCAAATCATTGTCGCATTCATATAGCTCGGTAAAGAGGTCTGGGAACAAATCACAAGAATAGGAAGCTGCCTGCGGCAGCAAATATAAAAGAGTATATAATATAGTGCACCATAATTATCAAACAATTATGCAATAATAATGTCTGTACCAAAGGCGTAAAATGAACACATATTGGAGCTAAGGACTATAACATGGTGAGAGCTTTCAAGATGGCCCCACGATAGCTACGGTATAAACAGTATAAACACACCATCTGAGGACAACAAGAGACGATCAGGGTGAGAAAAGTCCCTATGTTCCCACACAAAAATGCCTTGTTCCTCAGCAAGGACAACAGACAGGTACTGGCGTAAAAGAGCGGCTTTGGTATTAAACACATTATCAGGTGCCTGAGTGTGAGGCAGATTCCGATTAATCACTTGGCACACAGCAACAACGCGAACTTTATACTGATCGCGCAGAACGTGCACAAGATCATCGAGTTTCGACCCCACTACCTCTGGGGTGTGACCCGACAAATCGTTAGTGCCCATTTCAAGAATCACAATATTGGGCTTATACTTTTTGACCCATGAGAGATCATATTTAAGCACTTTATCTACGGTTCTGCCACCCGTACCCAACAAAGAAACATTGCCCGATTTGGGTAGATGAAAATTTGGGGCAGTGCGTAAATCAAAGTGCGCTTCCAAGTCGTCCCGTAAACGACGCACAAAGGAATGCCCGAGAAGTAAAATAGTTGGAACACACCCAGACATTACAACTTTCAGATATAAAATGAAAGAAAAATTACCTGATGGAAAAACTTGACTTTAAAATACAGATGACTTTGCGCTACCAAAGCGAATAGCAGAATGAACCAGATGCACATTCTGCTATGGATGTGTATCACCTCTCCCTTCCATTTTCCTGCACGCATTACATTCATGTAATCAGAAAATTACGGGGAAAATACCCATGTGTCCCATGTCAAGTTTGTCTATTTATATATCCTAAGCTCAGGAAGCAATAAAATCTTCATTGGTATGCCAATAATTCCTATAATGAACTCACCTTGCCCTTGGGATTGACTCGATGGAGTTGAGCATTGTTGATTGTTTTGACGCACTCTCATTTCTTCACACATTTGCAGTAGGTGACTAGCGAATTCACTATGGGTTTTCTTCTCAGCCATTCCAACCAAATCTGTTTGTACCTGCCACTTGTTATCGACGTCCATTCATAGGCCAATCTGGTGAACTTCAATGCCTAGTTTTGGCCTCCCGTGCTTTGGCAACGATGGCGATGCCATTTAATACTGTATTAATTTTATAAATGTGGTATTTTTTGCTTCAAATATAACACGATTTCACACAAGCCAAATTATAAAAATATTATAACATAGAAGTTGAATAAAAATTACGAAGATGGACAAAAATTATAAAAATAGTATAACATATACAAAGATGGACAATAATATTTGATGATTACTTCGCAATACAACGTCTGAAACACATAGAAAACCTAATCAAAGAGTACAAAACGTAAAGGTTCCACTCAATCCTCGATTAAATCAAAAAGAAAAAAGCTTAATAAATTAATAAACAGTTTTGATGATGAAGATGATGATTTAGAAAAGTTTGTGGGATTGCAAAACAAACGAAATGATTGTTAGCAAAACACTCTTGTACAGTGCATGAACTCCATACCCCTCCGTATCTGCATGTTGGATAAAATTTTAAAAAAATACAAAGTGTAAGGTCACATCAGCGTTAATGAAAGTCATTAGCAAAATGTTGTATGTTCTAAACGGCTCGTTTTATCCATATGAGCTCCACAAAGCCATTGAAGATGAGTACAAGTTATATCCTGGTGAACAAGATATACACGAAATCTTTACTAGACTTTGTTCGTCAGGAACCCAAAACATGAATGATATCATTGCCATACATTTTCAAAGCGGTTGTCAGTTTATAAAAACATGCAGAGAATGTGTTAAGCATGATGCTCTCCCACCAGAAACACGTAAAACCATCATTGTGCCTGTCTTAAATGGCATACAAGATTTGGAAAGAAGCATCGTACATTCTATGAATGATGATCATGTTCCTATTTATTGTAGCTCTTGCGAAAACGTTACTGTGAATAAACTTTCAGGGAAATTTGTGTTTCTACCTCAAACATTAGTCATAGGATTTAATAGATTTCAACAGAAAGGTGGAATCGCAAAGAAGAACCACTCTTGGAACTTCATGTGGTAGGAAACATGCCATGCCAATACATTCTTAAAGCATGCACCCTACATCACGGGATGCACATTCACAATGGACATTACACAGCAGTCATTTTCAACAATGGTAAGGTTATAGAAATCGATGATCACATTGTCAAAGATGTGACTGATAATTGGGTACCTAACATACAACCTACAAGTGTATTTGGCATTTTATACCAAGAAGTACACTTCATCAACCTACTCTATGCAATTAGATTATTCACCTCATTCTGACAATGACGATAATAAAAGAGAAAGAAGATAGACATGAGCCTTTGTTAGGAGACGATGACCAAGAAAATGAATGCAGTACAAATGAAACTGAAAATATTGAGCGCTTCTATGATGTATCATATAAATACAAATCAATCAGTACCAAACATAAAGTTGGTTACAGCGATTTCAAGACTTTGGAATTTCCAGTGATGAATAACAGTTACTCATTGGAAAAGCCTGGATGGTTGAATGACAGCATCATTGATTCCTATTTATTATTGTTAGTGAAGGCACACAAAAAGGTATTCGTGTTCATGTGCTAAACTGTTTCTTCTATCTTCGATTACGGAACACAATGTTAAAGAGGGGCAACGAAAAAAGATTACATGAAATAATATCAAGAACTTGTCAAATGATAGACTACGAGGCATGTGATTACATATTGATCCCAATTAATATCCACAACCATTGGACAGCAGTGGTGATCAACATTTGGAACACGCAAATGTTTTACTATGATCCCATGAGCAAAGGAATCCAAAATGAGACAGTAATAAAATTATTCAAAGTTTTTTTTTGAACTTTTCTACAAGTGCAATAAAACATGCAATATTGAAATAGAGTCAAAGGGTTTCATAAAAGACTTTGATGTAATATGGGAAGAAAAATTTCCAAGCCAAAAGGATTCTTGTAGTTGTGCAGTGTTCATACTGATGTACACGAGCTACCATTTGGGATTGCTTACTTTCGACCCAGATGTTCAAAGTATTTCAAAGATAAGAAATGAAATGGCCAAAGAGCTATTTGTAGGATTGAAAAACTACCCAGTATATCCGAATACCGAAACTGGACCAATATCGAAACGATGTGTTACAGCAACTCGGTACAAGCAACATCAGTGTAAGAATGTGGTATTATACTGCAGTGTATCTACATGTGCAGGGAAAACTTTTTCCTGGACATTTAATGGCATAACAGTATCCAACGAACAGGAATACGCATTTGAGTTAACAGAAGATAAAGTTGGCACTTATTGTTGTCGCGTGCTGAATCTAGAATGTAAAAGTTACACGTCAAGTTGCATTGTGGAATGCCAGGCACATGCAGAGCTTGTTGACAACAAGACACTTATGAGCCTAGTAAAAAAGGCGATTCAAGAGAATTTTGGTAGAAAGTAACATTTCTGCTAGATGTTTTTTCATTGGCTAAGTATACTGATAGACATGTGCCAGAAGAGTAAATTGTTGGCTCTCTCATTTTCAAAATGATGCGCGACCAGCAGCAATAGATTTGGCAATATTAACAAACGCAGCCATTATGCAAGATTTGCACAATCAGGGTGACAATGCAATGATTACATGAAAGCCTTTTTCAACTTGATGAGCATTTTTATTTTTATTAGTATAGAAATAACATCAATAATACGTTTGAAATCTCTGTCTTTTGAATTGATTAGTGAAAAAGGTTTTTGTGATTTCATTTGGCGCCATTGCAGCAGTGAGGTGCATGTCGAGTAGTAGTACGTAGACTAGACTACACAAAATATTTAATTAAATTGTTAAAATGTCAATAAAAAACCTTTAGGATACGTTTAAAAGGATGCTGCAAAAAATTTTAAAATAAATTCGATGTTTCAAATTGTTATAAACCAAGTCAATGTTGGTTGCACGGTCGCAGCACAGAAAATTCCAACTACGTACCAATTCACGCATTTACTTCATTAGCAGACTTTTTGTACACACTCAAACTATTCATTTGACGAAACTTGTCATGTGAAAAAAGTTTGAAGTGAATGCAATCATGTTAATGGGTAATTGCACAAGCATTCTTTCTTCTTTTTCTTTTTTTCCTTCTTTCTTCTTGTTTTCGGTGTGGGGAGGAGGCACAACGAATAGTGGAAGGGGAAAAACAATTTCTGCCCGTTGTACTGTTTCTGAAAAATTCGTTTCAAGACATTTGAACATATTAATTAATTCATAATCTGCTTATGAACAACTACAAAGTTTTGCATGAACAATAATAAGAGTCAGGTTGCAGCCTCCTCCCCCCTCCCCCCCCCCCACACACATCCATGTGTGATCTCGCATGTTTTATTGATTGTCAGTATATTTAAGATAACAAACGAATGTATATTAGGAATTATAGTATAATTTCAATTTGCCCTCAGATACAGTTTTGAAAGAGCATATAATTTTATACAATACATGAGATTTAAAGAAAATCCAATAGAATAGCAGGCAAGATTTTTACAATTAAACAGACAGTTGTTCAAAGCTCACATGCGTATATTAATTGGCTTATAATATACAAGGCACGAAGGACAGTCCTGTTTGAGTAGGATTTTCATTCATTTTCAGGCTTGCACCACTTACGTGTAAGTAACCATGATAAAAACAGAAAAAAAATGATCAAAACCAAAAAGCGTGATTATATAAGGAACCTTGCTAATATGATAAAATTTAATCCTAAACAATTTTGGAAATTTTTCAAATCGAAATCAAATAAATCAACATTACCTGATACCATGACCCTAGCTGACTCAAGATTTAAATCATCAAGTGATAAAGCGGATGCTTTAAACAAATTCTTTGCCTATATGTTTCTTCCTCGTCCCCAAAACCCATGTTTCCCTCCATCCAATACTGTCCTTGTAACTCCAACTGAGTTTTCTGATGTTTTAGTTGAAGAAGTTTGTCGTCCGCTCAATAATCTATCCACATCGAAAGCTACGGGTCCAGACGGGATTTCGGCAAGGTTATTAAAGGAGTGTTCGGAAGTCCTTGCTCTGTTTCTTACTGCATTATTTAATAAATCCATTGCTCTCGGCAAGGTTCCTGCAGATTGGAAGTATGCAAACATCGTTCCTGTTCCCAAAAACAACAAAACTTGTATTGTCAGTAATTACTGTTCAATTTCATTATTATCTCTCGCGTCTAAAGCTGTTGAGCATGTGGTCCATAACCGAGTCTTATATATTGTTAAACCTTTTCTTCGTGACCAACAACACAGCTTTCGTTCAGGAAAATCTTGTATTACTTAGCTTCGTGACGTTGTTTAGAACATTGGCAAGGTGTTAGATTGTGGTAAAGAAATGGACATGATCTATTTAGATTTTTCCAAAGCTTTTGATTCGGTACCTCGCGATAAACTTATTTTTAAACTCTCCCAATTTGGTAATACTGGGCCGCTCTTAGACTGGTTTTCTGACTATCTGTCTGCACGTAAACAGCGTGTGGTAGCTGACTGTCTCTCATCAAGTTACCTTGATGTACCATCTGGTGTTCCTGAAGGCAGTATTGTTGGCCCATTGCTTTTCTTGATCTACGTTAACGACCTTCCTGATGCAGCAAAACACAGCAAAGTACCAATGTTTGCCGACAACAGTAAATGCTATAAAATCATAAACAATCCACACGATTCTAATCTCCTCCAATCAGATCTTCAAGCCCTGTGCCTTTAGTCTTCTATGTCGAAGTTAAAGTTCAACTTGAAGAAATGTTCTGGAATAAGATTTTCACGGAAACGTTGTATTGAGTCTCCCGATTACTTTTTATGCTCCAGTCAGATCCCTTTTCAATCAACTCAAAAGGATCTTGGTATACTTATTACGAATAACCTAAAATGGTCGCCTCATATTTCTAACATTGTTTCCAAAGCAAACCGCATGCTTGGATTTCTACGACGTAACTGCACATATTTAACTGATATAAATTGTCGACGCTCTCTCTATTTGACACTTGTTCGTACACACCTGTGCTATGGCAGTGAAATTTGGGCACCCCAAACAACATCTAGGGACCTTCTTTGTCTTGAAAGTGTCCAAAGACGAGCAACCAAGTATATCCTTCAAGACTTCAACTCATCTTACACCAACCGTTTAAAAAAACTTAAGCTACTGCCTATTTCATACTGGTTCGAAATTTATTTATTTATTTATTTTTTTTTTTTTTAATTAATATTTAATTTCAGGAAGCTTTCTCACAAAGTGATTTTCAGAAAGGTCCTGAACTAAATAAACTATTTTAAGATATTACAAAGATATTACTATTAAATCAAAGATATTACTTTTTTTATAAATGCAAAGCTGGTTATTATGACTTAACACTTGAAGACTATATTCTGGACAATTCTACTAATCATCACACTCGCTTTAGCTCTACTGATTCATACCGACCAAACCGTTGCAGAACACCTTTCCGAAACCTATTTTTCAATAGGATAGTGCCACTTTGGAACAGCCTGCCAGGAGAAATAAAATCCTCTCTCTCTATTCAGTCACTGAAACTTAAACTATATAATCACTACACTCAAAAAGTTAATGCATGTTTTGATGTTAATTGGCCAAGGACTTGGAAAACATTTTGCTCTAAATGTCGTTCTTGTTTTATGTCTTGTTGTTCATAGAAGTGCATGTTCTGAGTTTTTGTACGAATGTAATTATGTGTAATACCGTAAATATGTAACTAGCTATGTATTTTGTTAATTTTATAACCGTTTATAGTATAGTATAGCATAGTATATAGCGTAGTATTTTCATGTATGGCAGGACTTAATTTGGGACTTTATTAGTCCTGTTGTCTGTGCCTTCAATTTCTTATTGTAAAACTAATAAAAAAAACCCATTTGAAAGAGGATATAATTTGATACTATATATGAAATTTTAAGAAAATCCTATAGAATAGTGGGCGCAAAATCTACAAATTAAATGCAGGAAGTTCCTTGCAATGCATATTTAATTGACTTAGTGTATCAGATGCGCATAATTATACAGTCCAATGTGAGTGGGATTTTCGTTCATTTTAAGGTTTGCTCCACTTACGTGTAAGGACAGTCCTGTTTGAGTAGGATTTTCGTTCATTTTAAGGCTTGCACCACTTACGTGTTTGTAACTATTTTAAAGAGCATATATTATAATTTGATACTATATATGAAATTTTAAGAAAATCCTATAGAATAGCGGGCACAAAATTTACAAATTAAATGCAGTAAGTTCCTCGCAACACATATATAATTGGCTTAGTGTATCAGATGCACGTAATTATACAGCCAAATTTGAGTGGGATTTTCCTTCATTTTAAGGCTTGCACCACTTACGTCTTTGTAACAATTTGAAAGAGCATATAATTGTATACAATATATGAAATTTTAAGAAAATCCTATAGAACAGCAGGCATGATTTTTACAATTAAACAGACAGTTGTTCAAAGCTCATATATAATTGACTTTTATTATATAAAGTATAGTGCTTTATAGAGATTTCGAGCACTGATAAAAGTGATAATCTCACATGTGAGATTATTACACTGACCTGAAAGGTCAAGTGTCTTAAATCCCTAGTTTTCTGTTTTCTGTTTTTTTCGTCGTCGAGAAATCGAGTTTGCGTTCGCGCATCGCAGGCTCAGGGTGCAACGATTAATCCAAAATGCCATCGATTCTTTGACTCCACGATTCATATATAATAGTAAGAAGCTGGTATTTATGTACGTAATAGTCGGCTCATGTCATGCTTGCGGTGCATTTTTCGTTTATTAGCCCATATATAGACCTATATGGACTTATACGCACACGCACAATTCCGAACTCCAATGGTGACATATTCAGTCCAGTTTCAAAATGGCGCCTTTTGGCTGAGTGATCAGAAAATATTTCATACAGTTTCGTTGAATTTTCAAAGAGTTGTGCCGGTTTCCTATGGATTTTACGTTGTGTCGCACTCTGAACTTTCTTGCGTGTTGAACTAATATGTTTTTCTTCGTGTAACGACTCGAAAACCCCAAAGTTTGGACCCAGTGAATTTTACAAAGGACAAGTTAAAGGTTCGACAGTTTGACTTTTTAACTAATAAACAACCGTCTATAAATATACGTTGTAGAGTCATAAGCATCCGTGGTGTAAATTTTTTGTCGCACTCTGGACTTTTCTGCATGTTGAATTAATGTTTTTATTTTTGTATTATACGACTCTAAAATTTGGCTTTGAAAATTTGGCCGACCCGGCGGATTTATGCAATCAATATGTTGTATTAAACGACTCGAAAACCCCAAAATTTGGACCCGACGCGAATTTGTACAATATAGTGGAATATAAGCAAGTACAAGTTAAAGATTCTACAGTTTATTTTGATTTATTGTATGGTACTCATTTGTCTAACACAATAACATTTAGTTCACAAGGGCAAGTTAAAGGTTTGACCATATTAAAATACATGTACTGAAATTCGCGCAATAGCTACTAGAATTCGCGCAAGTAAAGATAAAGCGAGCGTTCAAAATACCAAAAAGAACTAAGGCATTTATTGTATGGTTCTCATTTGCCTAATAGAATAACATTTAGTTCACAATATAATATAAACACAATATAAACAAGGAAAAGTTAAAGGTTTGACAGTTCCACAACACAACGTTGACAATATACCTTAATACATGTATTAAAATTCGTGCAGTAGCTACTAGTTGGCGCGCCAAACGCTTTGTGGTAGCTATACTAAAGATAAAGCGTGCCTTCAAAATACCTACAAGAACTAAGACATTTATTGTATGGTTCTCACTTCTCATTTGCCTAATACAATAACATTTAGCTCGACGCGAATTTTAACTATAGTATCATATTTCATAATATAATGAACAATGTAAACTAGCCAATTCTTTCACCTCCAAAATGTCGACAATATACCTTAATACATGTATTAAAATTCGCGCAGTAGCTACCAGAGTTCGAGCAAGTAGTAAAGATAAAGCTTGCATTCAAAATACCGAGACATTTATTGCATGGTTCTCATTTGCCTAATACAATAACATTTAGTTCACAATATAATATAAACAAGGAATAGTCGTTCGATTTGGCTATACTGTTTGCTCGTTTTGAATGTGTATTGATCATTTCAATAATCGATTTACATATCAGTCTGCTCGATTCGAGTAAGGGTTGCCCGATTTGTATCATTGGTGATTTGGTGTTCGACTTATAACTATTGGACCTATTGAATTTTGACAGTAAAAACGCGCCATATATAATACATGTATTAAAATTCGCGCAGTAGCTACTAGCATTGGAGCAAGTAAAGATAAAGCGGTGCGTTCAGTGAAATACCAACAAGAACTAAGATATTTATTGTATGGTTCTCATTTTCCTAATACAATAATATTTAGTTCACAATATAATATAAACAAGGAAAAGTTAAAGGTTTGGCGTTTGACTACACAATGTCGGCATTATACCTTAATACATGTATTAAAATTCGCGCAGTACGTATAGCTAGTGCTACTAGCATTCCTGCGGTCCTATTGAATTTTGACAGCAAAAACGCGCCATATAATACATGTATTAAAATTCGCGCAGTAGCTACTAGAATTGGCGCAAGTAAAGATAAAGCGTGCGTTCAGTGAAATACCAACAAGAACTAAAACGTTTATTGTATGGTTCTCATTTTCCTAATACAACTCGATCAACTCATAGCTATTATGTGCTCATTTGTTATCATGTGCTCATTAATTCTTATATCAATATTGGAACATGATCACGAAATACTGCGTAGCGCAAAATCTCCATTCTTCAAAAACGTATTGTTCAAGGCAACTGAAAGGCGAAGAAGACAATAATATATTGTATCTGACTGCTTCAATACTCAGAAATGATCCACGATCATGATTTGATAAAGTTCAATATGGTCACGTGATTTTCGGTGTGAACCTGAGATACTATCTATAAATATTATTACTAAGTATCTGACATTAAACTAAATGTGATTAAAGCACAAGAGATGTTACCTATGTCTCATTTTATATTTTTATTTTTTTCCTATGAAGGTTTGTTACTTGTGCAAAAGCGCAACTTTAATTAGGTTTCAAACAGTTTCTGCCTTCTGCTTTTTGTTGTCGAATTATTGATTTTCTTTGGATAAATCTACCGCTGAAACTGTTCTATACGAACTCTCTTGCTTCCCATTCCCTTGTCTATTACACCATAGCCAATCTCGTTCCCCGAGCCTGCGATCCTCGGGAAGGAAACGAAGGTTCTGGGATAATCCGTTGCCGAAAGCCAGGAATTCCGGCTAAGATTGAACTGCACATTCCATATCAACGGCCAATCGATTCCTCCCTGAAACGGATTATCCCAGAGCCTTCGTTTCCTTCCCAACGACCGCAGGCTCAGGGAACGAGATTGCACCATAGCACGCATATCATCATTTTCAGGTCAGTGTGAACGCCTGAGTAGGCGTCTTGTTTATGATAATCTCACATGTGAAAATTATCGCTTTTCTGCAAAAATTATCGCTTTCAAAGACTGTCCTTTATATAATAAACAGAAAAATACATGGGTGCTTGGAAATACCAACATGATCATGTTCAACACTCTAAATAAATATGAAGGTTTGTTATATGAAGGTTTGTTATACCACTTACCTATGAAGGTTTGTTACTTGTGCAAAAGCGCAACTTTAATTAGGTTTCAAACAGTTTCTGCCTTCTGCTTTTTGTTGTCGAATTATTGATTTTCTTTGGATAAATCTACCGCTGAAACTGTTCTATACGAACTCTCTTGCTTCCCATTCCCTTGTCTATTACACCATAGCCAATCTCGTTCCCCGAGCCTTCGTTTCCTTCCCAACGACCGCAGGCTCAGGGAACGAGATTGCACCATAGCACGCATATCATCATTTTCAGGTCAGTGTGAACGCCTGAGTAGGCGTCTTGTTTATGATAATCTCACATGTGAAAATTATCGCTTTTCTGCAAAAATTATCGCTTTCAAAGACTGTCCTTTATATAATAAACAGAAAAATACATGGGTGCTTGGAAATACCAACATGATCATGTTCAACACTCTAAATAAATCTGGTATTTCTGTGCACCCATGTATTATTCTCTATATAATATATGAGGCACAAAGTACAGTCATGCTTGAGTGGGATTTTCGTTCATTTTCAGGCTTGCACCACTTATGTATAAGCAATCATTTGAAAAAGCATATAATTTTATACCATATATGAAATTTTAAGAAAATCCTATAGAATAGCGGGCATGATTTTTACAATTAAACACACTGTTGATCAAAGCTCACATGCATATATTAATTGACTGATAATATATGAGGTGCGAAGTACAGTCATCCTTGAGTGGGATTTTTGTTCATTATCAGGCTTGCACCACTGACGTATAAGTAATCATTTGAAAGAACAAATAATTTTACACAATATATGAAATTTTAAGAAAATCCTATAGAATAGCAGGCAAGATTTTTACAATTAAACAGACAGTTGTTCAAAGCTCACATGAATGCATATAATTGGCTTATAATATACAAGGCACGAAGGACAGTCCTGTTTGAGTGGGATTTTGTTATTTTTCAGGCTTGCACCACTTACGTGTTTGTAACCATTTGAAAAAGCATATAATTTTATACAATATATGAAATTTTAAGAAAATCCTATAGAATAGCGGGCATGATTTTTACAATTAAACAGACAGTTCTTCAAAGCTCATATATAATTGACTGATAATATATTATGAAAGGGGCATTATGAAAAGTGGAATAAATTTCCGAAAAATCGTTAAAAAAAAAAGATAGAAAATGTTGAAAAAATAATTGAAAAATTTTTGTGGTAAATCACCTGTTATCCCTCATATGTCCCCCTGAAACCAAAAAAGTCCCTCCTATCCAAAAATTTTCTAAGTGCCATGTTTTTTGCAATTCTCCTGAGCAGAGCCTAAACTATGCATTTTTACGCGATGCTGATGGCGAGATGATCGATAGGCCGAACAAGGGGCATTATGAAAAGTGGAAAAATTTCCGAAAAGTCTTAAAAAAAAAAGATAAAAAATGTTGAAAAAATAATTGAAAAAATTTTCGCAGTAAATCACCTATTATCCCCCATTTGACCCCCCAAACCCATTAAACTGCCTCCTATCCTGTTATGCAAAACGAAAGGAAAACGTTTGGAAAAAAGTTCGTAGGAATTCACTTGTTTGGACCCTTAAAAATGTAAGTTTGTAATAATTTTTCATCAATATATGCTTTTAAGTAACCCGAGTCGCTAATGGAATGGTTTTTTATTACAAAACGAACTTAAAAGGTCGTGAATTATGCATATCCAATTTCATGTAATTTGATATTAAAAAATGCACCGCTGACCTCTTAATAAAAACTGGATAAAATTCGAAAAAGTCGGGGGGGAAAATTCGAAAAAATTCAAAAAAATATTTAAAAATTCTAAAATATGTTTTCTTTTATAAACGAACTCTAAAAAAAAAAATATAAAAAAATTTAAAAATTTTAAAAAATTCTAAAAAATTCTAAAAAATCCTGAAATTTTTTTTTTAGATGGCTGACATTTTAGTAAATGACAACAACCCCGATGTATTCACCAACAAAGTCACAGAAAACGAAATCGACCACATGGCCATAAATGTACCGGTTATTAACAATCTGACCAAAACATTTCTGAATTCCCTCGTTGGTAATGCTGTGATGCTAGCCACCAACAAAGGACAGAGAAGAGCTGTGCACTTTTTTATGCAACAATGGTCATGTTGTCCTTCCATCCGGCGAGGAATCGAACCACATCATTCAAGGACATGCAAAACCTGTACCATTATCTACATTCCTTGCTGGGCTTGCTCATGTCGGTGTTTCATATATAAGAGTTGTTAACTTCGGGATGAAGCAGTGTATCGAAGACCTCACGCCCTTCCCTCCAGAAGTTATTCAATGTGGTGCCATCGAAGATTGATATCCAACCAACAAATATGAAGTCTGCGTATCCAGGCGAACACCATTCCTGTACCTCCTCAAACCAACCAGACCTCTCCCACAAGATATAACCATTGATCACTTCCCTATACTGACCCCTCTCAACACCAACCCTGCCAGAATCACCGGTGGCAACATCAGCCTCCAAATTCAGCAAGACATCGAAGTAAGATCTGTGAAAATCTACAACCTCCTAAGAGCAACAAACCCGGACCCAATCGCCTCTCCCATCAACACCCGACAAGGATCCCACCTCTTCCAGAAAATGACATCGACCCTCCATGTGCTAACGTCCAACCCCAACCTTGTCGGCAGTTTGCGGATTGAAGTAAGAATTAGAATGACACTGCTGAAGGATGCCATAAATCTACTCATCGAGCGGCAGATGTTCAGGCCCCAAATTTACAATGTCAACTTCACATGCCTCAAGGTTATGGCTCACATATACCTCATGCGTGCCCAACAAATTTTTCGCACAGCACAGGCTATCCTGATGAGAAACAGGGTGATGCATCACCACATACAGCGCGAACTCACCATGCCGGAGAAACGTATGTTTGGTGACCTAAAGTTGTTGTTGGGTTACACGCATGCAGGATACCGTACCCCAGCAAGAGGAGACCGCTGGCGGCAACGTGCTGCACCACTGCCCTTACCCGATGCCAATCCTAGACGATACTACCTGCCGCAGATTCAGGCTTGCGCCACTTACGTATAAGTAATCATTTGAAAAAGCATATAATTTTATACAACATATGAAATTTTAAGAAAATCCTATAGAATAGCGGGCAAGATTTTTACAATTAAACAGTTGTTCAAAGCTCACATGCATATATTAATTGGCTTATAATATATGAGGCGCAAAGGACAGTCCTGTTTGAATAGGATTTTCGTTCTTTTTCAGGCTTGCACCACTTACGTGTAAGTAACCATTTGAAAGAGCATATAATTTTATACTATATATGAAATGTTAAGAAAATCCTATAGCATAGCAGGAATGATTTTTACAATTAAACAGACAGTTGTTCAAAGCTCATATATGATTGACTGATAATATACGAGGCGCGAAGTACAGTCATGCTTGACTGGGATTTTCGTTCATTTTCAGGCTTGCATCACTTACGTGTTTGTAACCATTTGAAAAAGCATATAATTTTATACAATATATGAAATTTTAAGAAAATTTTAAGAAAATCCTATAGAATAGCGGGAATGATTTTTACAATTAAACAGACAGTTGTTCAAAGCTCATATATGATTGACTGATAATATACGAGGCGTGAAGTACAGTCATGCTTGAGTGGGATTTTCGTTCATTTTCAGGCTTGCACCACTTACGTGTTTGTAACCACTTGAAAAAGCATATAATTTTATACAATATATGAAATTTTAAGAAAATCCTATAGAATAGCGGGCATGATTTTTACAATTAAACAGACAGTTGTTCAAAGCTCATATATAATTGACTGATAATATATGAGGCGCAAAGTACAGTCATGCTTGAGTGGGATTTTCGTTCATTTTCAGGCCTGCACCACTGACGTATAAGTAATCATTTGAAAAAGCATATAATTTTAGAGCCGAGCCTAAACTATGGACTTTTACGCATGCATATGGTAAGATGATCGATAGGCTGAACAAGGGGCATTATGAAAAGTGGAATAAATTTCCGAAAAATCTTTAAAAAGATAAAATGTTGAAAAAATAATTGAAAAACGTTTCGTGGTAAATCAACTGTTATCCCTCATATGTCCCCCTGAAACCAAAAAAAAATTGTCAAAATTTTTCTAAGTGCCATGTTTTTTGCAATTCTCCTCTGAGCCGAGCCTAAACTATGCATTTTTACGTGATGCTGATATGATCGATAGGCCGAACAAGGGGCATTATGAAAAGTGGAAAAAATTTCCGAAAAGTCTTAAAAAAAAAAGATAAAAAATTTTTATGTTGAAAAAATAATTGAACAAAATTTTCGTGCTAAATCACCTATTATCCCCTATTTGACCCCCTAAACCCATTAAACTGCCTCCTATCCTGTTATGCAAAACGAAAGGAAAACGTTTGGAAAAAAGTTTGTCGGAATTCGCTTGTTTAGACCCTTGGTCACTGGACAACGGTAAACTTTGTTTCTGAAGTCTGGAATAGTCTGGATGATGATTTAAAAAGCTCCACCTCGATAACCTCATTTAAGAACTGCCTCGAAAAAACTGAATTGTAATGACTTGTTTGTTCTGTCTAGTTATTTTCATTTGTAATTTAATTATTTTTAGTATATGTTTACTTGTCCGAGGACCCCTCTGTAAACCACTACTTGTGAAGTTGGTATCCTCATTAAAAATTATGTTCATCATTCATCATTATGTTCATCAATTTTTCATCAATATATGCTTTTAAGTAACCCGAGTCGCTAATGGAATGGTTTTTTATTACAAAACGAACTTAAAAGGTCATGAATTATGCATATCCAATTTCATGTAATTTGATATTAAAAAATGCACCTCCGACCTCTTAATAAAAACTGGATAAAATTTAAAAAAAATCGGGGGGGAAATCGGGGAAAAATAATTCGAAAAATAATGTTTTCTTTTATAAATGAACTCTAAAAAAAAATGCAAATATTTCCGTGTTAATAGACCGTGAAAACAATCAATTTCTAAAGAAATTAATGATTTAAAATTTGGATAGCATGACCAAATTTTCGGGCTGGCTTCGCCACTGTTTGGATGTGGATGGAATGGATGCCAAACTCTGAATGACATGTCTCCTAACTGGACACTATAAAATTTCAAATATTAGGGAAATATTGTGGCCTCACGTTACTATAGGTTTTGAATGGTGCAAGTCTGCAAACTTGAAAATAAGCATGATCCTCATAGGAGTTAATTGAATGTTTATTTACATTTTAGTATATTAATTCATGATGCCAATTTTTCACTGCCTATGATAGTAGTTGTTTCCTGTTGATTCTTTTACTGTAATAATTAAATGAATTGGGAATAGTGCATTTGGTGACCAGTATCAAGAAATAGGTTACTGTACCTGTATGCTGGTGTCGCAGTTGGATAAGTGTTATAAATATCGAACCCTGGTGTTTATATGGTTATAACAATTGTAAAATTCATTGGCATAATGTTGGTTATGTTAATATTTTTCAGTTGGCAGATGCTGTTGATGAAACGTCATTTAACACAGTGGTTGCTGGTTGTGAATGGAGATACAATGTAGACGGATTGCCACATACCATTCCCTTTCAGCAAAGGAAAGTATTTATTGATGAAGTTGCCAAATACTTTACGATTATCAAGTGCAAGGGAATGCTGGATGGTTTGTTGGAAGGATTGAAATATCATGAGGTATTATATACAGTAAACGTGTATTTTATGTGGTGTTTTATGTGGTGACAAACGTAACCCATTCAGTGACAAGACTCCACTTACAATTATCTGACGCATAGTAAATACAGCAATAAAGTAGGGTGGATCAGGGTGCAATTGTAAAGATGCTTTCCACTCTGTTTTGCACATAAGTTCTGCTCATAACAAAGGGGGACCCCCAGATATAAACATTGCCCGAATTTTGCATCTTTTGTAAACAAAGTCCGCGCATGTGCACAGGGGTGGACATCATCTTTAACTGTTCCTACTGTACATCAACCATTAAGCTGACAAATTTACTTGTTAATAAGAGAGGGGTCTTGCACTGTCAGGTTTGCTTCCCCAACAACAAAGGAATCACTCACAGATCATGTTTAAATTTTCTCTATAATATAACAGTAACATCTCGCCTTCGTATAATACCTGCAATCACTTACAAATCACCAATAATAATCCCGTGTTCTTACATAATAGCATCCGCGTGGGAATCACAGGTGCGTGAGAATTAACGTATTACTTATAATATGTACATTATATTATATAAAGTTTCCGACAGGGTCTTGCACAGTAATGGTTAACATGGTATTATTTGTTTCAAGGTTCTAGATCTAGTAAGAAGTTGTGATGGATTGACAAAGTATCTCTTCCAGTATAACGCAACATACAAGATTGGTGCTAAGGAGGTGCTTCTTCTGAAACCAATGTTATCACCAGTAGGTCACCAGCGAAGACCAATTGTTAGACCAATTTGTTGAGTTTGTGCGTAGTGTTGAAGGTATATATTTATATAAGATACCATGTTGAATTCTTTCGTTAACAAATGTTTATCAGCATGTGTCTAACGGTGTTACTACCTTTTAACCTAATGAGACATAATATATAACCAATCGTGTGATGCCTTAGGCTCGATTGAAGCCACAACTGGTAATCGAGCCTAGTAATGCCTTTGCTAAAAGTACAATGGCTAATGTATCTAATAAGAGTTGTTTATTGGCAGAGAAATATGTTTACAATAACGTTGATCCATTGAACTGCAATGCATCACATTTCGTTATTTTACTGTGTACAACGTCAGACAAATTTTACTCATCAATGGAAGGGGCTTATGCATTGGTGGATAAAATAAGACACATGAGTGCACACTGGCAATTGATTCGCTACTATATTTTACCCATTTTGTTACACTTAAATAAGACACTTTTGGAAATTTTAACCGACGACACCGAACTAACAAAAGAAGAAAGAGATGCTATCGAGAAATTAACTCCTGGGCACATCCTGATGTTTCCTACTGGAACACCATTGGCCCCTGTTATCGGTTTTAATCCTAAACCATCGATCAAGTTCGTGCATGATGCCATGTTGATTCCATCTGCACATACTTGTGGCAACATATTATATGTTTACATTAATCAGAAGACCATCACTGGATCTTTACACTATTGCATGCTCACAGCACTTATGAATGGCGGTGTGTGTTTAGTAGAATATGATTTCTGGCATTTGTAAGGGAATTTTGTTCTGAATTATATATGTTTGGAATTGTCCACGTTTACTATAATGTAAATTAAAGTTTCAGTTGTAGTTATAATCTTTATATTCTTTGGTGATTTATATTAAAATAAAAAATATGTTTAAAGCATTCATAATCTTTTCTTCACTTGTATTACTGTATGTTTGGCCATGCTTTTGTCAGGATAGTTTTCGAATGTCATTCACAAGATACTGTAGGATCCTGTCTGTCGTTGTTTAGAGTCTGTTTCACATTTGTTTAATAATTGTGAAACGCTCATTGCTAGGACCCAAAGGCCATGCATGCATACATATGAATACCTTATGTAATTGCTTGACACTAAAATTACAAAATTAATATATAGAATTTCAATACTAGGAACATTTTTTAAATTAAAGAATTAACTGTGATCATTTTGTTCTAACCTATCTTGCTATGCCTAGAAGATTGTGGTATAAAGTTAATGCTTCATTCCATGTGTCTGGTTGCCTAAATCCACTTTGGGTAAATATACTTGTAAACTACTCCTGGTAAATAGAGTTCTCTTGATAATCATGACAATAATTGAGCACGTCTTGATACTTTTCATTTTCTACAACATGTCCATGGTTTTCTGCATTCACATTCTCTGGCAGGTAATATAGTTCATCAGGTCTTCCTGGCAATGTATCATGCCTAGACCTCCGAATATAATGTGTGTTCCAGTGCAGAACTTTATCAAACTCTTTTTGCAATAAAGTTGAA